CTCCTTGACCTCGTTGATATCACCTTGACGTCTCGATGTCAATGAGCTGCCGCCCATTTGGGATACGGCGATTTGTCTTCTGCCCTTTGGCCCGGAAATGCTTTGACGTATTGGGAGATCCCCGTTAAGATGATTTAGGTTATTTCGTGGGCCCCATGTGCTGATAAGTCGCTATCCATTCCAGGATGTGAGAGACTCATTCTTTGCCCGATTGTTTAGAGTGAGCTTTGAAGCATTGGGACTATTCCCACACGGAATAACCTTCCTTTGGTTGTCTGTACCCAGGTTTATGATAATATGAAGCGAAACTCCTTTTATCGAGAGTATTCTTGGGTATCCCCCAAGATGTAATTAACCAGTAGGAACACGTTCCTCTGGGAGTGCTCTTGACCTATCTGACTCTTTGGTTATGGGTAGTCTATATAGATACTTCTTTCGCGGATATTGGTTTAAGGCGTCTCCGCCCGATCTTGTTTGGGCGGACATTCTTGACCCATCCTTGTGAGGTTTATCGCACGTACTCTCCACGTTTTACTTTTTCTATTGTTTGTCACTTTGTCGTATGTCCTTGCTTATTCGGTTTCTCTCGTTTCTCTCCTCTTTAAATCATTTATATGGTTCGAGAGGGAAATTTATTCGAATAGGGGAAGTATAAGACGATCGACAAGCTGGCGACTCCTTTTAAAATAAAAAGGAAAAAAATGAAAGGAAACAAAATCTGGCGTCTGTTTGAGACACTCGATTTGACTATAAACTTGTCAGATTTGGAGAATTTTTGGCCTTTTAAAGTATGTTTCAATGCTTTTTTTTATTCTTTAAGTACATGATCTGGGCTGACTTTAACTTAGATCGAACTGTTTTTATGTCGTTTGGTTCTTTTTACTGAGACACTTCACGTGATAATCAATTGAAGTGTGGGTATTTCTAAATTTATTTTTTGAAACCTCAGATCCAAATGTGTGTCTGGATTCGTGGAGATCAATATGACTTTTAAATATGCATCATTAATAAAATCAATCAAATCAATCAAATTCAATGAAATCTAATTGAAATTTGTCAATTCTTTTACTCAAGGTAATTTTAACATATTTTTACGGGGATTATACAGTGAAAATTCAAATTCCATGCGACCATAATTTCAGAAAAATTTTAATTCGAAATTCTTGAAACTTTATTAAAAAATGTCAACATAATAAAAACTACTAAAGCTTTATCGCAATTATCAAAATAGCTTATGATTCTCCGCATATTAAATCCTCACTTTTTTAGTTTATTGAAATAAATTATTTTAATGTCAATCATATAATCCAGCTTTGTTTTTTTTAAAATAGCTTATCGCCTATTTAACATAAAGTTTTTTGCCACCCCCATTGCTTGTGAATTGTGAGGGAAAAAACCCTTCTCCTTCAAAGAAAAGAGGAAACGAAGGCTCTTCATTCAATTATGACAGCAATACAAGAAGAGAAAGGAAGTAGAGGATGAAACATAGAAAGGGGAATTTAATTTATTCTTATCATTGTTTGTTTGTTTATTTGGTTTGCCACAAATGAATCTAAACATAAAGGTAATTTAATTTCTCGACTTTCTTGTTTTACTTTTATTAGAAACTATATTTACCAAATGCTTAAATTTGGAAATATGAAGAAACCTTTGGGATTGGATGTGATAAAAATGTTTGACAAATTTAATATTGCGATTCCAGTTTATTGTAAACCAGTGACTAATTTGATTTTAGAGAAGAAAACTGCGAGAGGTAGTTTAAAAATTAATATTGATGGTAGTTGGAACAATTTATATGCTGGTATTGGTGGGGTGTGTCGTAACTTTACAAGAAATGTTTGTTTTGGTTTTTTGCTCCTGCTACGGTATTTATGGCCCTCTTCTTAGCGGTTAAATGCAATTGGTCTTACATTGAGATTGAAATGGATTCTATGGAGCTTTGGAACTATTGTACTAAAAAGAAAAAGTATCATTGATTTCGTATTATTTCTATAAAAAAAAATCTTTGTTTTCCTTAAGTTTGTGCAGATTCATTAGATTTTTATTCATCGAGAAGGGAATCAGTGCGCTAATTGGGCTGCTAAAAGAGGAGGTGACTCAAGAATTCAATTTCCTCGTTAGGATTCCTCTAGAGTTAGCTCGTTCGATTAAGGGTGATTGTTTAGATATTCCTTATATTCGTATTGATAATGATTTTTGAGGTTTTTATTGTATAAATTGTATATGTTCTTCGGTTCTTTAGTTTCTTATTTTTTTTATGCGTGAGTTGTTTGGGTGTCGGTGTCTTTTTTGGCCGTTAGCTCCTATTTTTTATTTTTATTGAATGAAATTTCCTCCTGGGATTAGTTTAAAAAAAACATAGAAAGGGGGTACAAAGGCTCAACAGATAAGACAAAACTCAATTTATTTTATTCTCTCTTTTACATAAATACAGAACATTTAGTCTGTTTAGATAGCCAATACAATGGCATACACTTCGGACCTTAATATCTTCATCGCTGAAGTTTCACAAAGCAAGATAAGAATAATAATAATAATAATAAAGAGAAACAAAAACTTCTTTGGCTCAAAAATGAAAAATAAAAATAAAAATTTAAAGCATTTTGTCTAACTTTCTTAGGAAAGAAATTATATTCTGCAAGGAAATAAGCAAAAGAATATGAAATTTGCATTACTTACTTTTTTGAAAGAATGGCAACGAACAACACAATCCTGTGTTGCCCTCTTCTGGCCTCATCATCAAAGGGAAACACAATTGCGCGAAATTGTCAGCCGACTTGCCGTTGTAACAGAGTGTTATATATGTAAACAATGAAGTTAGGAGACTGAAATATTTAAATTCCATTGTTTTATGTGCTGTATAAATCCAGCCAAAAAAATTACATCAGAAGGGGAGCTCGGTAGAAATAAGGATTTTTGAAATATAAGAAATCTTGTGCCAATCAGAGCCAGCAAGCTTTTGATAGCGCTTCTTAAACGCTGGTTGACAACCGCAGACTGAGAGTTCTTCCAAGGAGGGAGGGAGGTGTTGTAATTCCCAGAGCAGAGGAACGTTATGAATGAAAAGAGTTCGGAGAGAAGAAAGATTATAAAGGCAAGACGGCAAGCAATCCAGCTTCTCAAGATCATGCAGAGACAGCCTATACAAAGAGGAAGGAAGGTCTGGCAGATTTCGGAGTGGAATCATTCCTAAGTAGAGATGCTTGAGAGAAGAGTGCGACAAAGGCTGTAAGCACTGCAATGATTCTAGGAAGCTAAGATGTAAATTAACAAGAGAGATGGGGATGGTCGGCAATAGCTTCAGCTGAGGAACCTCATGCACATA